CTACTATTAACTAATTATTGAGTAAGCCAGCTCCAGCAATGCGATGTACCTATATTGCCCTTGCGCCGATCTGGTGCATGATATAAGCAACTCACAACACAACATCCACGGCTGGGAATCATAATACATAAAAATTTCCTCATGTTGATGTCTAATATACCTCCCTGATAATTTCTGAGGGCGCACATGTCTGAGGTAGGGATATAATAACACACTGGGATACCCAGACTAATCTCCTGCGTGACAGGTTTATCTTGAATCTACGTGCAAAATATGCTCAACATGTGCATACAATTTCCAGGGTTAGAAGTGTATGAATATGTCAAAAAAGTAAGGCTTTCCACACCATTCAGCACCCTGCCCCCAGCCTTTCACTGCTCAAAATAATTTCGAAAAATAAGCAGGGGTCTGTAAAATTTCACAAGCGGTTTTTATTATTAGTTTTTCTTCTTGTTTTTTTTTCTAAGGTTACGATTGAATTCACTTTCAAATCCTACAGAATTCCATCAAAACAACTGGTATTTTGGTAGTTAAAAACGGGTCACGGATTAGCAGACATACAGAATGACAAACAGACAGACAGGCAGACCAGAAGATCGACAGACGGGCAGACTGACTGATCGACAGACCGACTGACGGACAGATAGGAAATAAGTATGATGTTTTTTCCTGATGAAGATGCCACGTAACATGAAACAAACGTGTTATCATATTTTCGAATTTTTTTGTGATTATAATACTTCCTCACATTCATCTATTAACGTGAGAAGTGAAACATAATAAGATGCTTTTTTTCATTCTGAAGCCGTCATATACCAAAATACGCGTCCGCTACGGAAGCATTTGAACTGCCTAAACGTCAGACTAGTTTCTAGTTAATGGGTGCAAAACCTAAGAGAGCCTTGTAGGCTCCACAACATTTTGAGATTTAGACACGTCTCATCGTTTAGGGAAGGTATCCATAATTGTTCTAATAACCCCAAGCCCATCTGGCAATATCCTTTTTGTACTCAAATGATGCATAAATTAACTATCTTGTAATGAATACTGAAAATTGACAACATTGTTGTATGACACAGATCACTTGCGTAAATATGGACTAATAATAAAAATACTACAAACATTCATACTTAATTCTAATCTACTGAACGATTTAATACTAATTGCTGTACGTCCTTGGTTTTATAGTTTGCTCATCGCAATACCTGTCTAAAATTGATTTGTGGACTTGATGCCGTGGCCATTTATTCAGATGTGCTTTGAAATCCTGACCAGTGGAAATGTGCTTTTTTGGTAGAAATACGGCTAATGTATGGCTTCCGAGATAGACGAGGCACGTCAGGCACTCATGAGCTTTAACTTTTGACAAACGTATTGTCCAAACATATGTGGAGTAAATCCAAAGCTGAGGATACGGCGATAAACAATTCGCATTAGTATAGGCTTCTCATGCTTTCCAAGTCATTGGTCCGCAATCCAACTAGAATCGGCCTCATAGGGCTAAAAGCCTAAGGCGGTGGTCTTGGTGTGAGGCCGTTCTTCCTCCTATCCACCCTGTACCTCTAAATGATTCTTTATGTTCAGCCTTCGTGATTCCATACCCGACAACAATCCACCACAGTCTTCAGACTTCTGTGCATCCTGATGGCTATTTCTCTGAGAGACCAACCAACCTCACACAAGCCCCCTATAAAACTTGCTAAGCTGTTGAAGTTTTTCTGGTCTCTTCACTTTAGGCGTAATGGTCAGATTAAAGTAGCTCTTCACAGCGTACTCGTATTGTAGGATGATCAAATACCAATTGTAGCTATAAAAGACAATTATCACCTACTTACTATTTTTGAAGGAACAGGGGATATCACTATTTATCGACACGGTTGAAAATCTGCCCCTAAACTTAACAAATATACACCAAGGAAATCTGTAAAAATTCATTATTAGTGGATGTTGTGTTTTCTATGCGACGCTGCAGACGCCTATTTTCACGCAAACGTGGCTTGGACGCAAGAACAGTCAAAGTTCCACACTCATGGTAATTTCAAGCATTCACTTTACTAGGTAATATCATATAGAGAAAGTGTCTAATTTTGATCTTAAATATATCTACGCCACTGGTTGGCTCAAACGGTAAGCGCCGAAAACAAGAGGCGACCAAGTGATTAGAGCAGCTGGCAGCCACCGCTTAATCGTGGATTGACGACCGTGAAGCAGCCACGATTATCTGCTAATATTCTAGAGAAAGACTTCGTGGGGAACAAAAAATCCACCCATCCCGACGTATTGAGTTGTTCGTTCGTGTACATGACAAACGATGTTGGTTTTTTGACATACGTGCACGACAAATTCAGTTTGCTAGAAATGAAATCGACGCTGATGATTCAGCGGTTTTTCCATTATTCAACATCATCTGCACTTGCGGTCGAAATTGCTCACATAATTGAATGGGTCAGTGCAAAAGTCCCGTAATTTGTTAGTTTTACTGTAGTTCTTGAGCTTAAGAATTTGGGTTCCAAAAGATCAAAGGCCCGAAAAACTGTAATGGGCGGTTTCAGCAGGAAATAGGGTTAGTGTTAGCTTATGCAAAATATTTTTAGGGTACATGGGAGAAAATCGAGCAGCAAACATCCGATTAAGTCAAACTACTCGATTTACATCTGAACCATTTGGTTAGCAGGCATCAAAATGTAATTTTTCAACCAAAAACTTGATATCTTTACAAACAGCTCTTTAAAATATTCAGCATATATTAAGGTGACCTTATCATTTATACAAACAAGGAGTATTGAGTGAACGGTTTTGGTAAGAAACACGAAGACTCTTAAACCAGTGATGGTTTCAGGCAAAGCAAATAAGGCTCGAAACCTTATTTTTGTAGTTAGTAAGTTATAAACTGATATTTTGGTACATATAGTATACTCGTATATATGTAAAAATGACCCATTCAATTACCCGCAACGAGTATTGCTTGCACAAACAGGACCTGCGATGTTTTGGCACTGAACACCTATTACGTGGTTTTGCTTGAAGTGGAAGGAATGAGGTAACATACGAGATGTTAACCCACTCTTAGTGAAGCTTTTTCAGTGTAAAGCATCTTGGTAAGATAATGGACATGTTCAGCTTTGGTAAATACCATGTTGCACTTCTAGGGCTGCTTTATTTGGTGGAGGCTGAAAATTAAGGACTGATTCTTTGCACTAACTCTACTTTCCATAATCACAATATTTTTCTCAAAATACCTATTTTTATCGGTTGCTCGTGGTTTCTAGAAACATAGGAAGATCATTGTATAGGTCAAGAAGGACCTGACTTTTGGAGTATTTGGTGTCTGGCCTCAGACCCCTAGGTTCTTCCGTATGGGACCACCCAGAGTTATTCGTTTACTCAACCTTAGTGATAACTTGGATAATTTCTGGTTGTGACTCAACAGGAGACAAGATCTGCAGCTCAAGATAATGCCATACTTTTTGTTTTACCATTAGTAGGCAGTAGTTTCAAACAGCTGTTGTAAGAATTTTGTTACGAAGTATCTAAGAAGTTGTAGAGGAACAAAATTGCCTTAAAATAGTCCAAGAAGTACCTCTGGAGTTGCTGCTCCACGTTTTAGAAACACATCGTTGTATTTTTCGTTGTAGGGCTCTACATTATTCCGTGGAGAGTTGTTTATTGACGGCAAGCTTATTTGGTCATCGTATCTGATCTTAATAATTGATACATTTCCACCGGATCCTCTGGTACCGAAGTCTCTATTTTCTCATTACGCTGCCTCACTTTTAACAAAATCGGTTGCTCAAATATACGGATAGGTGGTCAATCCTTGGGATACATAAATAACACACCACTGGAAATAGGTTTATCTTAAATAACTTTTGCACAACACTGCTTAATTCAACGAAACACCATACTAACCAATTGGGGCCTCACATTTCTGATCTGTTAAAAAAGAAAATACAACTCGTTTAGTATGTGGTACTGCTATTTCAATACCCTTTATAATCGTGATCCAAAGACGATATTTCGTTCTTCATCTGAAGACAGTTGTTGAACATTGATAAAATGGACTGCTTTTGAGACAACCAGATCAAGCAGATTTGTTCTTGTACTTACATATTGCGTTTCCGCCGATTTGTTCTATTGCACCATAGCGCAGAAGTCCCCTTAAATGGACAGTCCATAATTATTTATTCAATAAGCCAATAAGTGTTCATACTGGTTGCCTAATCAATCACAGAAGATACATAAGCTTCAGTTACATATTTTTCCTCGATTCTATCTTTGCTTAGGCAAGAGCGCCACATTACCCATGACCGTCAAAGAAAGGAGTCGAAAGCGATGCTGACCGGGATGCTTAAAATGTTCATTTATTCAAAATACATGTACCCACGAACACTGACCACCGATAATATTATACATTATTCATAGTACTATTAACTGGTAAGTGAGTTTAATGACTCCATCGTAACTCTTTAGTACCATTATGAATATAATATTTCAATATAGCCTGCCATAATGAACAAGGAGTCATTAATATTTTCTACAGGATATTATTAATTATTGTTCAGTTTTTTTATGTTCTTAGGCCGCAATGACATATTACGGTGCACCGAAGGAAGCAGTAAAGACGATGAAATTTTTTTTTCCAGTTGAGTGTTAGCTGCAGCTTACGTCTAAGAGACCGTGAACAATGGACGCCGAGTGTGACACGCATATGGTTCGCGTAACACCCTTTCACTCGACCACAAACTGTGAGTCTTTCCATAAACTATGCTAATACTTTATTAGTTTTAGTTACATTTCTGATTTTGCTGTGAAAACTTCTTTTTTCTTTCGTGATTCGTGATAACCCGTCATCCGATTTCATCGAAATTAAGCAGCTATTGATGTATCACTGGAAACTTAACTGAAATCCACTAAGCCACTCTACTTTGAAATCTCAAGTGGTAATGTTCAATATCCATAGAATTTGCAGAGTCCAAAACCTTAATTATTTTTATTTGTAGGTCTTATTTCTGTTTTGATGGGTATCTTGAATTGGGAGCTGTACAATTGGTGCAAAGAGACAACACAATTCTGGTACACTGTTAGGTACGCGTGTTCTCTGTAGTTTGCCGATTTAACGAAGTCTGTGATCCTCTTACGATATTTTGTAAAGGTATACTTGCCACATATAGCACAAAAACTGTCTAGATCGTTTAAACCATGTTTTCTCTTCATAGCCGTTGATTTAATTGATTAATGTATTACATGAAACTGACTCAATATGGACCATCTTCCTGATTGTGCGTAGTTCAAAACATCTCGCAACCAAACACTAATGTGATGTTTTTGTGTAGAAGCTGTTTGTTGGATAATGGTATAGAAGGTTGGGCTGGACATATGACAGCAAAAAATTCATCTTCTTTTAGACATAGGAAAGCTTTTATGGTCACTCCAAGGCAGTTCTGTTGACTGACAGATTCTTTCTATCAGCCTTTCCTGTCGGAAGTGTGAGATTATTCAAAGACGGAATACTCGCCAAAACTCCTCAGTCATTCGCCGTACATCCTACCACGGAAGCGCATTGCAACATTTCGTTACTTCCAGTAGTTGCTGGCAGTCAATTCATCTACTGTATTCGAGTAGATGCTCAGAAGTATCATTTTTGGCAGAGCAACACTTGCAGGTGGCATGTTCTCTCTTTCATCACAGCTTTAGGTACTTTCCAAAGCAGTCATGTTTGGTAAGGAAATGTGCAGTATACTGCACTGATCCCCTGGAATCAGTCTCCTAGCCCTCGCTCCATGACAGGCTGCGTAACATCTTCACTGCCACTCAGTGTATAGCACCTCGCGTAAATGATTTCTTAATACTAGATCCATCTTCTACAGTGCAAATGTTTGGCTTTGGCGCCAGCTACCGCCAGCGGTACCTCCGTCAACACCATTCTATAGGCGCAAGACACGAGTAGTAGTGGCATTTGGGCAACAATTGCCTATGTTTTTCTCTTTTTATTTCCTTTTAGTAAATCGAAGCCCTATACATCATGACCGAGTTTGACACACCAGCCAGCATGCTTTGGAGGAGAACTTTCAACGTGTCTCCTTCTTAGCTTGTTAACATCACTGCCAGGTCGTCAGCATATCCTATCAAGTTAATTCCTGACATTTTCTTTTTTAGCCTTCAAGCCCCATCATAGTACACGTTCCATAGTAATGGCCCTAAGATGGATCCTTGTGGAACTTCCAAGTACTCTTTCAATGAGGTAACCTTTTATCGATTTTAAGACGACTTTCACCTCTTCTTGTTCTATCAACTTCATGCTTTCAATAAAAGTTATTTTACCCCGTCTTCCTTTGTGGTCTCAGCTGGACCGTGCTTATGATTGCCAATAATTACGAAACGGTACTGTGCACGGTTGGCTAATATGGACTTATACTTGAACATGTTCAAGACATTATCAAAACACTCTGTATATATGTCACTCGGACCGTAGCAAGGAGTTACAAAATGTGGTAGGCGTTAACAGAACAGGCACATTTCCATTTCCAGACAGATATTCAGCAAATCAGTGCGAAAGGTTATGGCAATTTAAACAAACAAACAGCGGGCGAAGGCACGTTATTTACAAACCACGCGCATAAATATATGTGCATGAATGAATTTAATAAAATTTACTAAACATCGGCACGGGTCATCAAATTAATTATATAAATGAAACAATTAACTATCTAATTTAGCATAAACAATATATTAAAATTTATTATAAAATATTCTGATTAGCTTTCAAATATGCGGTAATTTAAATAACATTAATTTTAAAATTGATATTAACAAATTCTGATCTGTATACATGAGTAAAACGGTCATTTGCGTTAGGTGAAGTGATTTGTATTGATAATTTCTAAACTAATATCGTCGATAAGTGGAGCAATCATGTTTTTTCGATCAAAGCAAATCGATGATCCATTAATGAAAGAGAATGAGCATATGAATGACGCCTGTCACCGTTATTTTAACGGGTCCTTTATGTATTTATTCCTAATGCCCAGTTGTACGAGTAGTATCATTATTCCGATTCGCTATTAGAACTGTCATTCAGGAAAACACTGCAATGGTAAATCAAAGTTTGACTAATACGGAAAAGACATTTTCCTCTGTTAAGCATACGATTCTACCTTTAATATAATATTTATTGTTGAAATCCAGATTTTACTCGCAGGTAATATTCAAGCTATGTAATTAAATCTATTGTTGCTCCTTGCTCTATTTTTGATCATTACTATCAAAACATGTATGAAAGGGATGTCAAGTGACTCTCAAGCCGCTAAGAAGATATTTAGCTGCCCCGTTTCACAATGAGCTAACTTTCAATACATCCTAATTTATCATAACTTCCACAATTTTTTTGAACACATTGTAAACTTTGAGGAGATGAAAAGTTTTGACTCTCTTGGAAAGATGATGTCCATTATATGTATCAAAGTATCCCCTTGTATAAATACGAAGCATTGTTATGATAACACTGATTGGGTTTAGGATATAAAGATAACCAATATGATGTTATGCAGAGATGGCAATACCTCCGTAATCTACTTAATACTTTAATGTCCAATATCATGCTTGACTAGCTTTTTCGTACTTTCAAAGTCTAGACTAGACTTCACCCCAGATATTAAGGCCAAGGTCACTTCAGAATGAGTAGTAGGACAGAAAAAAGGTAGGCAGTATATAAACATATAATTAAGTAAAACCCATGGGAGTGTAAAGAAGTCACTGGCTATGTAAGTGTCTATAAAATGTTCTTATTTTTCTTCAGAGTCAAAATTTCCCAATTTCTATGCCGCTGTTAGTTGTGGTGTTGTTTGAGATACGAAAAATTTAGTATTTATAGGTAAAGTGGATACGCTATTTATGTTTGATGATCAAAACTTACCTTTATCCTCTTCTCGATTTTATTAATATTCTATAATAATTGTTTATAGCAACTGTTTTTTGAATATATTGGTATCAGAATTTTCAATGATTTGTCCAAATTTTAACGTCAAAACAATCCAAACTGATGTAACCTTCGAAAAGCCCTTGGATTTATGTCTGTGCTTTATGGAAGGATCAGATAATCTTGCGTATTAGAGTTAAGGAAGGCGCTTTAAATCAAAGATTTGATGGCCAAGCTTATAAAAAATGCACCATGGCTTTATAGCCTGATCAACCTTAAACACAGCATGAAGTATACCGGAAACTCTTCTTGACATATTTAACTGATGACTACTGTTTAATTTTATATGGTACTAAATTATTACCAAAACCGTATTTTATTCGAGCTATAAATATTGTACCACAATTCATTATGTGTATAGCTATCATTATCAAGTTACAGCAATAAATCTGAAAAAACGGTATTTTGGCATCTGTTGGTTTTGAAGATGCCTCCAATTATATAACTATAAAACCGGACCAAGCTCGAGCACACACACCCATTAAGATTTTGTAAAATTCCAAATGAAATTCAGCCCAAGTCCGTATAAGTCACGGTGTGTAGCCATATGGTTCAGCTTTTTATGCTCTGTGAAAACATCTTTAATTTCTCCTAATACGAAAATCCGTTTGAAATGGATCCACATTAAAATAAATCAACGTTCACTTTTACCTGTCACAGTGGAAGCGCTTTACGAGGAAGATCATCACTGATTTCTGGATTTCTACTTGTTGATGCTTGAAAAATATGATGCCTATTATTTTTAATTAAGCTCCATTCGGATATACCTACGTTAGGTGGATCTCACCATCGAAAAAATCGTTTTTAAGGTTTGTAGTTGCCAGAAAGCATGGTATATTGATAATAATTAGATATTGCTCCCAATAGAGACATAAATTTCATCCTCGATGTCGTTGGCATTCTCTTGGAACCAGATAAACTGGAGTCAAGTAGATCAACTGCCAATATAATCTAATTCAGATTCAACTCAAACTTTTTCACAAATTTGGTGTACATCCAATCGCTATCTTCAATATCATTGCTGACATTTGCTTTTATTCACAACGAATGCTGTTGTTTTACTTAGGAATATTTTAAACAATTATTTTAGGACCAAAAGAATATTTCTTTCCCTATCCGCGAATATTTTGTAATGCATTAATTGCATGCTCTAATATAATCCTTTTAGGGATCTTGTGCGACCTTATTGACTCTTGTAAGTTTAGTCTAGTACAAGGAAGCATAATCTGCCAAGACGGTTTTTTTCATAATTGACTTGACAGTATTATTAACCAAATTATTCCAATAAGAAGTCGCTTTTCACAGCCTTTTTTATACTTTTCATGTAGCTTTGGGATAACGAATTCCAGTATTTACACGTATACTGGACAATACCTTCAAACTCTGAAGGAACCCTCATCTTCGCTTCCCAAGGATACAATAATTTTCAGAAAGGTTTCCCCTCTACTTATTTATTGAGCGGAAGTCAGCAAGCTGGAATTCGGCGTCCGGCGTCATGGAATTGATGCATGAATAATGTCTAACTGTATTTTAGTGTTAAAATTTCATGTTAAAATTTTAAAGATCTTTATGAATTTAGAATATGAAATAACTATCTCTTAAACTGGAGGACTGGCAGGCTGGCAAAGTTAAGCCTGTTTGTAGAATGAATCGCTCATAACTCAACAACCAATTATAAAGACGTTGAAATATTTTTTTCTTGTTTTGGAAATGTCTACCTAAACGTCGAATAAGCTATAAGAAATATAGTTCAAAAATTTTTATCAAACCTGAGACTTTTTTTTTAAATGCAATGTTTCGTATTTTATCACAAGGATAGATTGTTCCAAGAAGAAAATTCTGATATAAGATGCGTTGCGGTTTTTATGATTGGTTCTTGAATGCAATGTACAAAAAATCTCGATTCTGTCAGCCGGCCAGTCCGCCATTCCAAAAATTTGTATATTTGTTATATATCCTAGGGTTATAAAGTACTCATGATATCACGTTCGATTTAAGAAATGTTTTAAGATGCTATCTTGAATGTTTGAACTGTTAGTTTTACGTTTTAGGTATAATATCCATGCATCAATTTCATCACATTGCTTACATGACTCGCGCAAGAAATAAA